GTTCAACACATTTACTTTCAGTTATTTCTTAAAAATTTTCCTAGATACGATTAGTTATTTTTTGGTTGGTTCCTAATGTATTCTTCGCTGAAAAAAAAAAGTAAATATGTTGTTTTTGATTCATAATCATATCTTTCAGTTCATTCATCTGTTCGAGATCAGCATACTTTTCAAAAATATGAGGCAAACAAGAGCACGAGAGAGAAAGACTACATGGCGCTAGGACAATTCGTCGCACGGACAATTCGTCGCGGACAATTCGTCGCAGACTATTCGTCGCACGGACAATTAGTCGTCGGACAATTCGTCGCATAGACAGTTCGTCGCATGGACAGTTCGTCGCATGGACAATTCGTCGCATACGTAATTAATTCATATGAATGAACTTATGTCCCTTTTCTTAATTGACTTAAGTGAATTTGTTTTTCAATTAATGAATAAATATTGATTTTTGAATAACTGTGTTATCATTCGAAAGCCAAAACTGAAGAAAGCAATTTATCGAAAACTCGATGAAAGAATTACACGATTAGTCGGTGATTACGGAAATGTTGATCTTGGTGAATATTTGAAAAACTTAGCTGCAAATGTGTCAATATAGATAGAATTATTTTTTTGTTTTTCTGTGTTAATTTTTGTTTCTCTTGAATAAAATTATTTATCATTCATAATTAAGTGACTCTCTCTATCGATAAAAATTTGTCTTACATACATATTAATCTTGTTACAATTAATTACGCGTGCGACGAATTGTCCGTGCAACGAATTTTTCATGCGACGAATTGTCCGACGACGAATTGTCCGTGCGACGAATTGTCTGCGACGAATTGTCCGCGACGAATTGTCCAGTCACCAGACTACATATATGCGAGGCAAAAAATCAAGCAACAACGCGACATCAATCGTAAATAGTTGCGAAAAGTAATTTCTTATGATGAACTAGCGCAACTCACTTGACAACTAAATATGATTGTGCTAATGATTCTATGTACATCAAACTCTGGTTCTATTCAATTTTTCCCGGAATTTTTTATACTTGGATTCTATAAAATTCTATCGTGATATGATTTCGCCGCAGTTGTTAGAAAAAGTGTTATTTATATTTCTGCTCATGTTGAATGATATCGATCATTGCTCAAGTTGTTCAGATTCTACTACTAAAAGATAAATTAGGCATTGAGAATAAATTATTGAACAATTATTACGGAACAAACTAATTAAAGGATATACTGCCCGTTTCAAAATAAAAGGTGGGTGGATATTTTTTGAATAACTTTTGATAGGAACAAGATAGAGAGCTGCGATTTTCACCGTTGAAAAGAGTAGATGAAAAAGCATTGAACCATATAAGACAATTACTTTTAACTTGGACTTTTGAAACCTTTTGCAATAGTTGAACAAAGAAATGTCTTAAAAACAGGTCTGATTTTTCCAGGAAAAAACAAAAAAAACTTAAAAAGTGAGTTGTTTTTTTTATAGAAATTTCTGGCAAAGTGGACTTGAATTGTCAAATATAATACCTACAACTCCCAAAGCAGTAAAGCTTTGAATTAAGCTTTATATATAGTTTTATAACTCGTCAGCTGCCGATTCTAATCCACTCCTCAAAGTGTAAAATTTGTTGTATCTTCATAGAGCAATGGTCTACTCTTTCAAGATGACCACAGATCACTATTTATTTATGAAATAAATCTCAACAATTTTGTATGAATCGATGCGCTGGATAGACCTCTTTCCAACGGTGAAAATCGCAACTCTCTATCTTGTTCCCATCAGAAGTTATTCAAAAAATACCCACCCGCCTTTTATTTTGAAATGGGCAGTACAACCAATTCGCAATTAGTACACAGATTTGAACGTTGAGTTAAATCTAAAAGACGCATCAGATTGAAAATAACATATAGACAAATATGAAAAGATGAAATTGAATATATATATATATGAAAAGACCATTGAAACAAGTATGAGCAAAATGATCTGATACTGTGAGTTATAAAGTTGATCATCGCTTAGAAAAAAGTTATATCAACTAAATTCGTTTTCATTATACGATTCTTTTGTTTTTATTTTTCTTATAACGAAAATAAGATTCAGTTGTTTTGACATGACAAAATGGTCAACATACCGTATAATTCTACTAAATCACGTATTGCCCGATTAAGTGGTAATGAATCAATATCTTTTTTTATTATTTTAAATCCATCGTTTAGAGGACATCTAAATTCATTATTGTTGAATGAAGTCATTCTGTCAATACATTTATAGCAGTAAGTGTGTGAACAAGGTAAGAGACGTGGCTCATCAAACCATTCGCGACAAATTACACAGGTAATTAATTCTTCAATTCCAATGTTTTTACTGAATGCCATGCCAGTGAATCGATGATATATCAAAAAGAAAACGATTTTTCAATCTAAAAGGTATAAATGATATAGTAATCGGATCTTGATTTTTCAAAAATTTCTTTTTAAATTCAGTATTTGTCGCTAGGTAAATATTCTTGGATCTATTAAGAAACTAATATATTCTTTATTGCTCCATATGTCTCAAACTGTTATAAGGATACGACTTCTCTGTATAGGAAACAATGAATTGATCGTTCATGCTAGTAATCCTTCCACAATTGAAAGCTCTATCTGGAGGAACGATGGGCCGGACGTAATAGAAGACTTCCTTAATTAATTAATTTCTCAAAGAAATTGGAACTTTAATTAGTATGTTTACATTACAATATGCCTAGTGTCAGAGGCTTGAGCTAAAAATCTTAAAAGGCTTGTGTCGACGTTATTTCTGGGTATTTAAAATTTTACAAATTTCTTCCCTAATCTTCAAAATCACTTAAGTTTTCTGGAACTTTTGTGCCCTTGGACATAATATAACACACGGAATCTTCTATTGCTGAAGGGAAATGGTTTAAAACTTTTTAATGTATAACATTGTTTACACAGATGATATGATTAAGTTGACTTCATGAGTTATACATAATACATTCTCGTCAATATTTCTCGCTCGATAGAATTAGTTCATGTCATCATTTTTCCTCTCTAAATCTTTTGAATAGTTTCAATGAACATTTAGCAGTCTTAATACATCGTACATATAAACTCTTGTGCGTTTATTTATTGCTAATCATTTGATGGCAAATATATTTATTTTACAAATCGATGGACTGCATATAATATTACAGATTAAACTTGAAGGATAAAAATAACAAGTGAAATGAATGCTTACTTACTTGTACCGATATTCCTACTACCTAAAATTAGTGAATAGAAGAAACAGAAGTTAATAGTGAGATTAAAAAATTGCTTTAAAGAAAAAAATGCCACTCATGAAGGAAAGCAATATTTTTCTCTTCATTTGTTTTCGTTCTGTACATTTCGATGATTACTTTACGATGAACGAAGCCATAGTGCTTTTGTTGTTCTACCTCAGAAAAAAAGTCCTTCGTTCGTTATTAAGATACTGATTGATTTATCAAATAAGGACACACTAACATAATAGAGGGAAATAATTTTATCATTTTAGTAAAAAGGATCGAAAGATCGAAATGAAATTTTAGGTTTAAATCTGGCAATACAATAAATCAAATAAAAAAATGCGTTGTATGAAAACAAATTTGAGAAAAATTGTTCATTTTCTTTTTTCCAGCTTTACTTTTTTTCTTACCTAAAAAATACTATGATGTTGACCAACTGTCGTTTGTTTCTTGTTCTCTATGTTGAAGAAAACTGACTATCAACACAACATAAAATACCCAGTAAAGAGAAGAAGAAAAGAAAAATTGTTTTTTTTTCAGGCTTCATTTAGATGATGAAATTTCATTCACATGTTGACGTTCATTCCATGTAAGTTTTTGTACTGTTTTCAGTGAAGAACGGAAGAGAAAGAAAAGTCCTTTTCAACCTGTCGGCGAAATCAACGACAACAAAAGATATTTTCAAGGGTGTGGGGCGTAGATGGGGCTTGAGAATGTGGGCTTTTTTCCCCCACGACACACATTAACATCCACACCAATATAAATCGACCCGCATTCTCCTTGAGTTGTTCAGAATAGTGAGCCCCAAAGAATTTCATGATGTATCTTTTTTATCTTTGTGAATCAGGATGAAGTTGCACTTTCAAGAGTTTCAGAAATCACGGAATCCGACCATTGCTGTGGCGCATGATAGTTCTTCCCTTGTTTTGTTTTTTATCCATATTTTTTATTTCATGTACGATGAAAGAAGATGTCGAATTTAGCAAGTTTGATAATGAAATCTGATGTACAGATGATTAAAACATATAGTTTGAATCTTTTAACTTTTTTTGCATCTAAGAAACCCTGATAAACGATGTGATGCTTGTCGACTTGAGCACATTCTATTTTTCAAAAGTATGAAATTCATTTATAGGTGTTTATATTGATAAATAAAAATATTCTTTAAAGTCTATATATAGTTTAAATTTTCAAAACAGTCCAAACAAAAAATTTAAAACAAATTGTCAGGCAAAGTTGAAATTTAGGCAAAATTAAGCCAAGTTTTTAAAAATCGAAAAAAAAGAATAAAGAACTGATCTTATATATTTTTATTAAGTTATGTTTAGTTTTAACTGAAATATAATTCATTCTAGGAATTTGTAGAGTTTGAGAATGTATTCAATTAAAATCTAATTTGTCTTAGCAACCTTCGACCAAAACAAGAAACGATCTTTAAGTTTATGCTTCTTGAATAGTATTTTTTTATCGATAGTTTTTTTGTCTTCGAATTTCACATGGTTCATAGACAGCGTGTGAGTGTGGGCGTAGGTGTGCATTAAGTCAACAATTATGCCCACACCCACGTCCCACCCTGAGTATCATTTTCCTCAACAACTGAACAAGCTGCATCGATTGATGTCATTTAGGGTGTGGGTGTGGGTGTGGATATAGATCTTGTCTTCATCCACACCCACATCCATACAAGTCTTTCATCTTCCATTAATAAAATATTTTATCTAATTGGTGACGATACAACTGTAACACATTCCACATACCATTGTCGATAAGTCTAGTCAAAGTTCATCTATCATTATTATCAATCAACTATATACTTGTCAGAAATTTAAAATATCGACGATCTCCTTCGATGATTTGTCGACTTTTACTATATATTGTCGTCTCATTTATGTTTTGACGTCGGTTACAAACATCAATTATCTAAGTAACAAACGCTACCAGACGTGATACAAACAAGACATCCCACTATAATAGTCAGTAATACACAAAACAGCACCTACAAGTATTATCGACTAATAGCTGCAACAACATTCAACAGAGCACGAATGAAATGTAATAATCAAACAAAACAACTAAATCGAATCCGTGTGTAAACGAAATTCTCGACCGTACACTATAATCATTCCTAGCCATTTTAGCCATTCTGAGAATAACCTACTACCCTAGTGAAACATTTTGTAACCAAGATCTTGGTAAGATACAAAGTACAAAAATATTAACAGATCTTGAAAATTTAGATACAAGATAATCACATTGTCTTGCTCCAGGATCTATAATTAGATCTTAGGTACAGATCTATAAGATCCTGACTGAAATACACTTGGTCTAAAAACGATCATTAAGACTCATCTATAGATGACTCTAAATATTTCTCAAATATCTTATCTGATGTAAAATTTGATGTTGAATCTGAATCTGAAGTCAGATTTCTATTACAAGCACAAGGAACCAAATTAGAGGCTGATGTTCGATTCAAAAACGTTTGAACTTGTCGCCTTTATGCAGGCCATTGAATGAAGATCATATTTTCTTGAACACCTCGGCACACAATCTAGTTTCAAGCAGTAACAAATTAATTTAAAAAATACTGTTATGTGAAGATCTTGGGCAAGAAATTTTACATTTTTATATCTTACTCGCATCAGATTTATGTGTACCTAAATTTTCAAGATCTGCTAACATTTTCTGTATCTTACACCTTGACCAAGATATTCGACACAAGATAACAGATCTTGTCTACAAGATGTCTCACTAGGATGCTTATTAGTAGATGAATTAACATTGAAGAGATTTATGTCCTTTGAATTTAATTTATTTATTAACATGCAGATTGGTTATTATCGCTTGAGAAGACCTTTAACTAGATCGAAATCATGATTGTGATAGTTATCTTCTTCATACTCACCCGAAACTGGTGACTAGAAGATAAAATAGACCTCTTTATATATTACTTGAACGTGATTTCTAAGCTTACTACATTGTTCAAAAGTAGTGTTTTCAATGAGCGTTTTTAGCGATTTGTTTCGTACAGTTTTCAAAAAATGACAGCTGGAATGATCTGGTCTTCATCAGATCGAAACATCATAGAGCAAGGACGGGAACAATCTTTGAAGCAAAATTTTTTATTCTCTGTTATTCATTCATTAAGGTTTTTTCGAAATAGAACAAATTTTAAATGACGCAAGAGAAAAACCTTAGCCAATTTGACTTCCTAATTGTATTGCTAATGCCATTTTTGCTCTGATCCATGGCAGATAGTAACTAACACGTACAAAGACACTTGGCACATCAGTTCTGCAATATGAACCGAAACTGGTAATTCCATTCAGATACCTGTACAGAGAAAAAGAAGTTAAGTGAAAGGAAAATTATTCTAGATATATCATCTATTTCATAACAAGCCGACGTTGCTTCTTACCATTGTCCATTGTACTGATACATTAAGGGACCACCAGAATCGCCATTACACGTTGTAGCTCCCACTGTGTTGGCACAGATTTGTTTATTAGTATCATATTGTGATGGTGCCCAGAATCCACCACAGTCCATTACCTTTAAATCTGTTTGTTTCAGTACTGCACTTTGATCACCACTTACTGATGTTCTTCCCCAGCCAACTACCAAAGAAAAGAAATGGTGATCACTGCAATGATGAACTCGGTTCCTCTCTCTTATCTGGAGTCTGACTCTATTTCATTGTGCTAGATATCAGTTATCACTGAGAAATGGTTGTTTGAAGTGGAAGTAGAGAGAAAAGCGAAAAAGTGAGATTTTTTCTTACCGGCATAAACTTTTTCATTAATGCCTGCTTCTGCACCTGGAAGACAGATAAAGTTTACTTTATCTGTGACTTCAACAGATTTTGACAAATAAATGATAGCTATATCATTTGTTATTTCTATACTGTCATACTGTTCATGCACATAGATCTTTTCTGCAGTTATTTCTTGTTCCATAAAATGGACCCCATCTTTATCATGTAAGCCCACAGTAACTGTATAGCCTTGTGTTGACTTAATACAATGTGCTGCCGTAAGAACATGTCGTTCATCAATTAGAGCTCCCCCACACATATTGTCAGGTCCAAGTACCAAAACTTGCCACGGCTGAGAGGTAGCAACAGACAATGAAACTTGAAATGTTGCGAAAGAAGAAGCACGTTATACTTACCCATGAATGTTCTAGTACAACAGAACCACCAATAATACGTTCCAGCGGTATGTACAACTGTTTACCACATTCTCTTGGAAAATGTGGTGCTGCCGTAGTTAATGGCATGCCTTGACAACAGAGGCGCATTTGAGTATGTCCATCTTTATATTCAAACGAAGGATCGCTGATACATTCACGATTCATTTCATACTGCACTGAACCGCCTTGCCAATTCATCCATTGTGTACAAATTTTACCGTTATCACGAATATTGAGAACAAGAAGTTGAGCAGAGAGGCTCCCAAGAGAGCAAAGAAGAAGCAGAATATTTCCAAGAAACATGATTTAATTTCAAAGCTACTGTTAGAATGAAATGAGAAGCGATAGCTACAGTCTGTCTTTTTATAATAGAAAACAGGCTTTAGACGAGTAATTTTCGATTTTAATCTTTTGTTTTCGTGTCTTTCTTTTTTTCATAAAATTAATTGAATTTTGTTAGACGGATCACTTTCCGAGAATCACTAATCCGTTACACAACAATTAATGTACAGCTGACGAACGATACTTTTTCTGATGCAGCTTCGAACGTTGATTCCAGTTGTGAAAACCGTAGTTCGCCTTTTAATAGATGAATAACCCAGGCAGACAGAAATTTGAAAACATGCATTTACACGCACCATTCAGGAATCGCGACTGTGAGCTACACACGCTGCTAAATAAAATGCCAGAAATGCCGTTTTTGACGTGGAATTGGCACTTTTAGAGCGCTAAAACGGTAAAAAACTGGTCTTTTTAAGCGTTTAAACGCATTTTTTCCTAATATTCAAAAACTATGAAAAGTACGCGTGGGTGTGGGTATTTTTCTTTTCCTTCTACATCCATATCCATACCCACACACACCTACACTCACACCTTTAGCCGTCAACAATTGCATTACTTGAGGTAGCCCTATTTTAACATAGTTCACCAGAAAAAATTTCAGTGCCATATCTGAGGAAAGGATAAATGAAGTTTTAGTGGAAAATTTGTGCTCCATCGAAGATTGAACCAGTTCAAACTTGAATCTTAGAATGACCTAGTCCAATCTTAGATTGACCTGAATCCGAGATTGGGCTACGACATACGTATTCCTTTCTCCGTCTTTATAGTACGTGAAAGTCCCAAAATTTATAATATGTTTTGTGCCGCATTAGCATCTTGAGAATTATTAAAACAACAATCAGTGTAGAATAATAATCCTGGTGCAAAGTTTGTATTTATATTGACTGATGGCTATGACAAACATGGTCGCTTCACACATCGTATTATTGCTTATGCAGAACGATATTCCATTACAGTCATTGGAATTGATCTGGATCTTGAATAAAATGGTGTGTGTTTATTTTTCAGGGATGGGATTGTTGCACAATGACCACCAAATGATTCATTATATCATGTGAATAAGGCATCGACATATATTGCGATAAAGATAGTGCTTAGCGTATGGCTTTTGTAGCCTCTAATGGTTGTGACCATTCACAATTCGTTTTGATTTAATTAACGGTCATCAATCATCTTATCTTGGATGTAGCAAAGTTAAAATTTCAAGTCAAGAATCAATTGGTGGTATCGACAAGTATGAAAATATTCAAGATGGCTTAGATACAATATTCATTTCTACATTAGAACACTTTTATTTCTTTTTTTTGTATTCTTTTTTTCTTTAAATGAAACAAACGCGTTTAAAAATTAATCTGTTACGGTTCGATTATGGAAAAAATCATAATACAATGGGGTGAATCATAGTAGTTGACAAAAATAAATAGCATTCTCAATAATAGCCTTGTTTATTGCAAAAGATTCAAAAAATAGCTGAGAAATAAGAACAATATGCTTCTATCATTTATGAGGTGCCTACTCGTCATCGTGTGTGAGTACATGGACATACAAACATTAATGCGACCGATCTAGCTATAAACTCGGCATGAATAGTGAGGATGTAGGGGTAAGTATCGATATCTTTTCGGATATTGCTTCTACAATGCTTTTGTCTTCTATAAAGATTACTTTTTCTGAGGAAATTAAGTGCTTAAAGCAAAAGAACAATATCGAATTTCAATTTATTGGAAGAGCACGTCATAACCTTCTCCACTTTTGATGATGGTGCACAAAAATATCATTACTTTATTAAATATAAAGATGGATATCGTAGCTATTGTGTTTCATTTCAACGCAAACGATGCTTTTAACAATAGTTCGTTGTTTTGTATTCGTTCTATTGAGGTAATTCTATTAAGCATTTTTTTTTCTTATATATCTAATGTCGAGTAATCCTCCTTTTCAGTTTTACAGGTTTGTTTCTTATTTCGTTTTACTTGCTTTACTATTATTTGATATATCATTAGTTGAAGTAAAATCTCAGTTCTGCGATGGAATATCTCAATATGGTCGATGTTCACCAAATAGTGCATGTGCCTGTTATCATATAGCAGGGGCTATTAACATTGGCATTTGTGTCGATGTATTTGTCGATTGTTCTGCGTTAGTTGCATGCGTAGACTCAGATAACACTTGTTATGAAACTAATCATCGATGTGTTCATCATCCTCAATGTCATAGTTCTCCTGTTTGTTATCCGGTGCCAAGTTTCAATCAACGACTCTGTCCACCAATACCGAGTAAGAGAATAAGCAACGATCTGAGAATTCAAATAAAAATCAAATCTTTTTAAAGTTATTTCTTCATCATCTAAATTAAGTATAATAGACAAAAAAATCAAACATAATAATTGAAACAAAAAAAAATTTCATCTCTTTTCATGGATATGAAAATTATTTTTTCACAGCTGATAGTATCACTAATTTAGCTGTCTCTTCAAGATGATTATAAGTGCAAAATATATCTTGTCGAACCATTTTTACAATGGCTACTTCTTATAGAGTTTATGCCTTGGTGTATGAAAGTTTCGAGAATCGTTTTTGAAAAGAAAATGAAGAAATCCAGCCCGTCTAATGGTTAGAAGGATGAGGAAGAAAGAGTTTACAGCAAATTATCTTGATTTCGATGGACTCGCTTTTTGATTTGATTCAATCGAATCATTACATTGTATTGGATTGTAGAAAATTTTTTTCATACTTGTCGTTTTCTAATTAGCAAATTTAAAATATTTCATTTATATAAATAAAATTCTCTATGATAATAAATAGCAACGAATAGTACAACTACAACTGCAAGCACAACAGCACCCACACCCACAAGTACAACGACTACTCAAAAACCATGTAAGAATTATAATACTGTCTTTTTATTTTGACACATATTATATTGTTTTTTTAAATAAATGCTAATAGTTGCGAATATTAGTTGATCTCTAAGTGTTGAAAGTGTTTATCAGAATTGTTCCATAAGTAACGACTCCCTTTTTGTTTTCTTTCTATCTTTGTTGTAGTCAGCCGTAAATAGATATTCAACATAGGATTCTTAAAGAGTGTCATCTAAGCTATCAATCAAAAACAAAAAATTGTACGACATTCGCATGAATATTAAGAGAGAACTACATCAATAAAAATTTTGAAAAAATTTTTCTCTTATTTTTGTGACGGTTTAACTTAAAGTTTTTTTTATAAAGATAGTCTGTGAAATACTCTACATAATCCAATAAAAGATACTTCTTCTAAATAATAACTAGGAAATCATATCTGATCGGTAGTGCCACACTCCAAAAAAGACCCACCTTTTTTTTGCGAAACTAATTCTTTCTCATTTCCGAAAGAAATATGTTTCATGTTATTCTGAGCTATGCTTTTGAAGAGGTGTCTTTTCTTGGATTTTGTAGAGTATTTCACAGGCTATCTTTAAAAAAAAAACTTTAAGTCAAACCGTCACAAAAATAAGAGAGATATTCACAGAATATTGTTACGGCTGACTACAGCAAAGATAGAAAGAAAACAAAAAGGGGGTCGTCACTTATGGAACACCCATTAGAAGCAATAACGCATGCCCATATCTTTTTTATCAATCACATGTTACAAAAAGAACACAATTACAAGTAGTTGAATTATTTTCATCATCATATCTTCATATGTTGCTTAATATGTGACACTCACACCTACACCCTTTAAATAAGACGTTTCATTAAAAACAAGTTATTATTCAGTAAAACAAAAAAAGAAGATAGTAACCTTTCTCAAATGATTCAAGATATACAAAGTACATTTTTTCTTCATATCGTTTTTGTCTTTTTAGAATATTTGGATATAGTTCTTCTTTGTATTTTAGTCCATCCATTACGTGGAAATGCTATTGATATTCATTCAAATGCTCAATGGCAAGAGAATGGTCTTACCGAGGCTGGAGGAAATAGAAGAGGCAATGCAACTAATCAACTCAACAACCCAGGGGGTGTATATGTGGACGATGATCAAACAGTTTATGTCGCTGATGCATCAAATCATCGCATCATGGAATGGAAAATGGGTGCGATGAGTAGTCAAGTGGTTGCCGGTGGAAATGGTGATGGAAATGGAACTCATCAATTGTATGGACCATTAGATGTGATTGTCGACAGTGAAACTGATAGTCTCATTATCAGTGATCATTATAATAAAAGAGTAGTTCGATGGTCTCGTCGAAATGGGACCCATGGAGAAACAATCATTTCCAATATCTCTTGTTGGGGTTTGACAATGGACGAGAATGGATCTCTCTATGTCGCTGAATTTTCAAAACATGAAGTGAGACGATATCGAAGAGGAGAATCTCAAGGAACAGTAGTTGCAGGCGGCAATGGATCTGGAAATCGTCTCGATCAGCTCTATTATCCACGATATGTATTCGTTGATCGAAATAATTCAGTTTATGTATCTGATTGGGGAAACTATCGTGTTATGAAATGGCTGGAAGGTGCAAAAGAAGTCATTGTAGTGGCTGGTGGTAATGGGCAAGGAAATGCTCTTACACAATTGCATTATCCTTTAGGAGTCGTTGCCGATCAATTGGGTACTGTGTACGTAGCTGAACAACTGAATAATCGAGTCGTACGTTGGCCCAAAGGAGCTACAGAAGGAAGTATCATTATTGGTGGAAATGGTATTGGAGACAAATCAAATCAACTCGATTGGCCCGTTGGTTTATCATTCGATGGACATGGCAATTTCTATGTCGTCGATAACGGAAATTCTCGAGTACAAAAATTCAACATTGCATCCAATCAATGAAAAACTGAGAAATACTTAAAGATAACTTTCAATATTCTTATTTTGAATTTTTAAACAAGAATAATGAATGAATCAACACAGAAGCATCATATTTGAGCAGATTATAAAGACTTCGAAACCTCAGAATTCTTGAAAATTTCGTATTTAGATGCTCTTGAAGTAGTCTGACGCAAACTTACAGTGGTAGATCAAAGTGAAGATTTCAAGAACTTCACGACTTAAAACGTTGAGTAATCATCAGAGAAGTGAATATTGTGATGGCATCTATCCGATTTCAAGAATAGCAAGACATCTGACAATTGGAATCCTTGAAATCTTGGAAATGCTAAAGGCATCTGTGCAGATTCCTATGCATGTGAAGCTTAAGCAAAGATTCCATGACTTGAAATGTTGTATAGTCTTCAAAATGCTCAAAACTAGGGTGTGGGTGTGGGTGTGGGTGCGAGTGTGGGTGCGAGTGTGGATGTGTGTGTGCGTGTGGGTGTGGGTGTGGGTGTGGGTGTGGGTGGGTGTGGGTGTGGGTGGGTGTGGGTGCGAGTGTGGGTGCGAGTGTGGATGTGTGTGTGCGTGTGGGTGTGGGTGTGGG